TTACAGAGGGGAGAAGGCTAAGAATAGGAAGAAAGGCAAGAATAAGAATAGGACATTTACTTTCCACTATGTTATTATTGGAATAACATAGCCTCAAATCAAGTAAGGCGGGGGAATATTCCAATACCACTTCATTTTCTACAAATAACGCTAGTGGAATATTCCTATAACACAATGATTATTGCAATCTGAATGTAGCTCTACATTCGCAGTCCTGACGTAATATTTTTTCTGCAATCCATGTACTAATTAATTCATTATTTTCTTGAAGTAAGGAATCACTGTAAAAATAATTAGCTTTATGATTTTTCCTTAATCATAATACTAAGTTAAACACTTAAAAAAATGCGTTAATCCATAAATTTTTTTATTTTTTTATAAAAAATTGAGTGTTGAAGTGCTAAAATTTTTCAGTTGGTCAGCTACTTCGTTGATAAATTTTTAAATATTTTACATCAATAATATTTCATTTTTTACTTGCACATCTCCATAAAAATAAATTTCAAGGACAAATTAAATGACATACACTTGAACTATTTCTTATTTTTTTTCTTGAGAAATTAAGTGACAACGAGGACAAGAGTAGGAGCTCTAGAAACTGCATTGTCGGCACTCTCAAATTAAGGTTTTGTTTGGGGGTTGCGTTTATGATGTAGTACAATGTCATTCTGTGCCGAGAAGATGTTTGTGGCAGTATTCGCGACGTTGTTTTGTAAAAGTGGCATCAATTTAATCATTGTGTTTGGTGAACTCATTTTTCAAAACATGGTTCGTGATTTGGATATCTTCTCCCTCGACTCTTTCAGCATTTCTTCGCTTCTCTGAACTCTCACAAATATCCAAGGTTTTCAATTTGGTTCATTTGTATTCTCATTTTGGTGCGTTCATCTAATGGTATCTAAACTCGTATATTCTTGCATATAGATGTTATATAAGAAAAAAACGTAAAATCGAAGTGGTTGGTTTGAGCAACATGATAAAGTAATGTGTAGAAGCTTTAGAAAGTCTTGAACATGATTTTGTAAACCGGTTTTTTGTTTCTTTATTGATGAAAATCGGAACCTTTTGCCCAATTCTTCTTTATAGGAGTGAATTGGTCATTGTTTGTTCTTTCTATTGTATTAAGCTATGCTTTAGAGGAGTGAATGAGTCATTGTTGATTCCTTCTTTATGCTCTAAATGTTTTTATTGTGTTGTTGGAATACTTCCTATAATGGTGATAAGATATTTGGATGTGATTTTTTGGTTCATCTACATCTTGAGTTTGGTTGTATGTAAATATGACTTGAGTATTTAACTTATCTCGTTTTTGTTAGTGTACACTTGCTATCCATTGAAGGATGTCGCGAAGGGATTCATTAACTATACCATGATTCACCCATCTGTTTTAGGAAGGTAATTAGCATTTGATAATTGGAATCGACTGCCTAGGAGTTTTTGAATATCCAAATGTGAGTTGCAAATTAAAGATAGGCTATCATTGATGTTCTTTTAGTGTTCTCCAATGCTCCTAACTTCATTGGCTTATCATGCAGACTTTGAGACATAAACTAGAAGTACGTACAATGTTGGAGCATTTTAGTTTTCATGTAAATTATCATAATTTAAATCTTTTTTACTGTCTCTAAAGTTGTGAACTCCAACTATGAATGATGTTATTCACATCAAGACTGGAAGCTAGCTATAGGAGAAGATTTTATAGGTGTCCCAGAAATAAATCACTAGATGCTTGCATTTTTAGATGGGCTGACAATTTCAAGGAGTCCACTTCAAATAGTGACCATGTGTAGAGAAAGGTTTTGGAAAGAAAGTTTTCTAACGAACATGATCATTTTGATATTAAAAGTAATATCATGATAACATTACTTGTTGATATTATAATTTTAATTTTCGTGTTTATCGGTGTTAAGTGAGTTATAATTTTTTATATAATATTTTGGATTTATAATTTCTGAGAATTTATGTTTTTTTTTTTTGTTATGTTTGAGTTTATTCTGAAACGATGAACATACAACAATAAGAGCAATACATTTTATTTCAGAAATCGCTACAACATAGTTGGGCTATCCAGACATACCGCTTCACCAATTAACAACAGCTTTCTCGCAACAGCTTCTCCTATAAAAGCTTCACATCTACCTCTTCAAATAGTTGCAGCTGTTCAAACAGACTGTTAACCATTCCTTAAAATTCGAATGGGGCATTTACATGCATACCAACCAATTCCAATCTATCTAGATATATAACACAAAAGTTTTACTTTCTATATTTAACCGACTCAAATAACTCATTTGTCAATCTTAACTTCTAAAAAGTGAAATATATATCATTTTAAACATAAGATGACATATATATATATATAAATTAAAGTTTAATTGTTAGATATGTAAATACATAATAATTAACTTGTATGTTTGTAAATTATAAATTGGAAAACTAAGCCCTCTCTTAATTACAAATTCCTAGATATGGCTCTTCGGGGAGGCTTCATGTTCCCCACAGTCCAAATAAACTTTGCTGTGCACGTTGGCCAATTTTATATTAGAAAATTCAAACAATATATTAAGCAGACAATTGGAGACATAAAACTATATCAAATTGTCCTTCTTAACGAGTAAATCAAAAGCTTTTCTAAACTAATGGTAGGACCTAGCCGTGCTTATATCAGGCTTTAGTACTAAACAGTCAAATAATATAAAAATGATTTTTTTAAAGATATTTTCATAAATTTTAGCAAATAATAATAATCCATTCTTGAGATAAAATGATCATGTCAGTATGTTGCTATTAAGGGTCCGTTTGAGGCAGCTTATTTGGTGCTGTAGCGTTTTGAAATCACACTTGGCCTGTCTGGGTAAATCACGTTTTGACAGCTTATGCGTTCTGAAAATGCTGAAAGCAGCGTTTTCAGACCGCACATAGGTAGGTGCGGTGACAGCTTTCTGACAGCGGTTTGACTTTCGCAACGCAAATAAATAAAAAATTGTAATAGTCACTGCATCTAGCTTATCAGCAGATTATTCAATAAGCTACAGCTACCCCCAAACAGACCCTAAGAAATGTCCATTTGCATGCTTATTTTATAGTAAAATTTGTGCCAAATTCAAAAATTATACTAGATTTTAAGAAATTTCAAAAAATATATATTAGAAATTAAGGAAATTTTATAAGTCAGCGTTTTAGAAACTCATGCATCTATGTTTGGGCCTATGGCTGAATAAATAGTTTTATTTATCAAATAGAATAAATATATATATCACTACAGCATAGCTGGGCTATCCAAACAGACATACCGCTTCACCAATTAACAACAGCTTTCTCGCAACAGCTTCTCCTATAAAAGCTTCACATCTGTCTCTTTAAATAGTTATAGTTGCCCAAACAGACAGTTAACCATTCCTTAAAATTTGAATGGGGCATTTACATGCATACCAACCAATTCCAATCTATTTAGATATATAACACAAAAGTTTTGCTTTCTACATTTCACCGAGTCAAATAACTCATTTGACGATCTTAACTTTTAAAAAGTGAAATATATATCATTTTAAAGGTAAGATGACATATATATAAAAATTAAAGTTTAATTGTTAGATATGTAAATACATAATAATTAACTTGTATGTTTGTAAATTATAAATTGGAAAACTAAGCCCTCTCTTAATTACAAATTCCTAGATATGGCTCTTCGGGGAGGCTTCATGTTCCCCACAGTCCAAATAAACTTTGCTGTGCACGTTGGCCAATTTTATATTAGAAAATTCAAACAATATATTAAGCAGACAATTGGAGACATAAAACTATATCAAATTGTCCTTCTTAACGAGTAAATCAAAAGCTTTTCTAAACTAATGGTAGGACCTAGCCGTGCTTATATCAGGCTTTAGTACTAAACAGTCAAATAATATAAAAATGATTTTTTTAAAGATATTTTCATAAATTTTAGCAAATAATAATAATCCATTCTTGAGATAAAATGATCATGTCAGTATGTTGCTATTAAGGGTCCGTTTGAGGCAGCTTATTTGGTGCTGTAGCGTTTTGAAATCACACTTGGCCTGTCTGGGTAAATCACGTTTTGACAGCTTATGCGTTCTGAAAATGCTGAAAGCAGCGTTTTCAGACCGCACATAGGTAGGTGCGGTGACAGCTTTCTGACAGCGGTTTGACTTTCGCAAATAAATAAAAAATTGTAATAGTCACTGCATCTAGCTTATCAGCAGATTATTCAATAAGCTACAGCTACCCCCAAACAGACCCTAAGAAATGTCCATTTGCATGCTTATTTTATAGTAAAATTTGTGCCAAATTCAAAAATTATACTAGATTTTAAGAAATTTCAAAAAATATATATTAGAAATTAAGGAAATTTTATAAGTCAGCGTTTTAGAAACTCATGCATCTATGTTTGGGCCTATGGCTGAATAAATAGTTTTATTTATCAAATAGAATAAATATATATATATATATATATAGAGAAACCAATCCCGCCTGATTTAAATTCTAGTATGAGTTCTATATAAATAGATGTACATGAAATTCAATTTCAAATTTTTAATAAAAAAATATATATCTTCTATCAACTAATAAATAGACTAAACAACCACCATTCTCAATTTCACAAATTACCACATCAAATAAAGGTAAATCAGAGGCATAAATTCTGAAAAAATAGATCTCTTGATATAGTTTATAATAAAAATATAAATTAAATAATCAAAATAAAAATTTATTTAAAAATAAACATAAATTAATTAAATAAAAAATATAAAGAGAATTACTTTAAGCAAAAAATTGGTTAGAAATTTAGTTAAATTTAACCAAAGTTAACTTTTTTTTTATTAACATGGATCAGAAGCCCTGCCTCTCTCCTTCCACTATATAAACGAATGGGCTCTTCTTCTTCTTCTTCCCATGGCTTCATAGATCCTCCTCTCTCACATAGTCCACCTTTTTCTCATCTTTTGCAGTCTTGTTTTTCACCATATTTCATTCCGCCCATGGAAACCATGCCTTCCCTATCGTCTGATAAAAGCAGAGAAAACTTTCATGGCTTAAATTCTACCAACTTTGGCAACAATACAATGTTGGATGCATCACCTCCGCTTCCCCTCACCCACTCGAAGCAATGGCTAACCACAAACAGCAATCTTGACATGTGCACCGAAACTCTTGGTTGCGAGACAGGTGCAATGTGCTCTGTTCTTGAACTCGAAATGGCTTCCGTAAAGAAGAAGAAGAAGAAGAATGAGAAGAACTTATCGCCGAAAAGCGCTCTACCGCCGGAGTTTCCGCCACCGCTCACGACGCTGCGCGGCAAAGGGCGGCTGAGATTAGGGAGAAAGAGGGAGGAAGGAAGGCTTCTGCTTATTCCTTTCAAGACTTTTGCGGTGGAGTCAGAGAGGTCTGGCGGGCGTCTTCTTCTTCGGATTCTGCCGGCGAAGGAGGGAAGAGAAGGAGAGGAAGAAGATGAAGTTGAGGAAAAGGGGGTTTTTTCTAATGGTGGCGGAGGGAAGTATGGGATTTCAGGGAGGTGTAAGGAAGGGAAGAAGATGGGTGCGGCGGCCATTTTTAACTGCGATTCTGTCTGGGTGGCTAGCTCTTGAAAATTTATTTTTTTTCCGGAAATTTACATGTTTGGCGCTCAATTCTCGCATTTACTTATCTTAAAGTTAAATTTAGGGTCTGTTTGGGACTGCTGCAGCTTAATCTGCTGATAAGCAATCTACTGATAAGTCAGGCATAGTGGCTATCATAAATTTTTTTCTTTGAAAAAATCAGATCGTAACCAGAAAGCTGCCACCGCACCTAGATGAGTGTTGTGCACCTAGATAGGTGCTGTGTGAAAGACTGCTTTTAGCGTTTTCAAAACTCATAGTTGCATCCAGAGTGAAATTGATTGGAATAATTATGTGCGCTCTGTAATTGTGGTTGACATGATGCTAATTTATTTGTAATTAATTTTAAAATTTATTTCTAATCTATAAATGAATGAAGATAAGTTTCTTTCATAAGAAGAATTTATTCATGGTAACCTAAACACTGAGTTTCATGATTCCTTCAATTATTCATGCAAAATTACCTTTTTTTTTATTATAATTTTTTTAATTTTGCTTGGATGTGCAGATTATTTGATATTAATATATATTTTTTTCATAAAAGGATGTAATTTCTAACTATTAGAAAGATCCTACAATCATATCTTTTTTTTTACATATTTGTAATTTTCAGTATAAAGTTATAACTCTATTCTCCCTATCAAAATAGAAGGGTGTATTTAAAAGTATGTAGTTGATATTACTTTGATGGGGCTGAAAAAAATATTACATCAGGACTCCACGCGTAGAGTTAGGTACGGAGTTCAATGAAATCACGTCACGTGGAGGTGATATGTAGAGTTAGGTACGAAGTTCAATGAAATCACGTCACGTGGCGGTGATAGAAAAAAAATAAAATAAAATATGTATGGTAACACAAGAGAATATTCATCCTGGGTAATTCGGGTGTTATTGTGTGTTATTCAAGTGTTATTGATGTGTTATTATGTTATTACAACTCGAGAATATTCTCATAATACAATAACACTTGAATAACATATAATTACACCTGAATAACACAGAATAACACGGGAGGAATATCAATTACACCTGAATAACACAGAATAATACGGGAGGAATATTCCCCCGTGTTACCGGGCCGATTTTTTTTTCGATTTTTTTTTTTTTATGTCACCTCAATATGACGTGAGATTGGGGCTTTTGAATCTTTCTGTGAGAAATTTGAGTATCCCAATTTCTATTTTATGATGGGGCTAGGCTCCATAATCTTTTTTTCTTTCAGGGTTTTTCTAAGTATAATGTGTAATAGATTTTTGTGCAACATTACGACGTTAAATCATCACTCAACCCCCGTTTTCTAACACTCAACAATTTTCATATTGAAAAATGAAATTAATACAATAAAAAATTAATAATATAATTATTAATAATAATAAAAGGTCATTCACATGCAAACCACCCAATTCCTACGTATTTACACGAACAACATCTAAAATTTACTAGCTATCTTGGTAGATTGATAATTGCACCAACCGGATGAAATAGACTTTAATAACTTTATCATGTGAGCGCTCATTTGGTTTCCATTAAATAAGAAAATATGGTATGAAAATGATGTCCGATTTTGATTTAATTTGGGGATGGTCAAGAGATGAGAGGGATTTCAAGATTTTTCGAAATAAATTTTATAGCTTTGAACGGCCAAATTAGGAATGAGGTGCCTCATTTATTGATCAATGAATTTATTTTATTTTGATGAAATGACTATAAATAAAAGAATGAAATAAAGATAAAAAATAAGCTAAATATCATAGATATTGGGATGGGATATTGAGGGCTTCCATTGATTGATAATCAAAGCTACGCCTCGAAAGAAAAGGATTATGCGGATTCGAGAAATCTGAAAGAGAATATCAAACATAAATGCACACCAAACTAATCCAAGAAAGCACGTCCAAGAAGAGGAAAAAAAACTACAGAGCCGCACTACTCAAAAAATTTACTATGAAAAAGAAGAAAAGTATAGATATTACACCAATTTGATCCATTCTGTACTCCACTAGAATTTACAACAAATTCGCTCAGTATCCTCTCTTGGTCGGACAAGAGAAATCACACAAATCAACCTTCTCGACACTTCGCCGCTCTTTGCACAAGCACATGATCTTAGAAAAGATATTATGCCGCGTGCGAGAGAGTAAAATTCACCATTTGAATCGAGGGATTAAGTTCTGTTATAGGAGATAACAACACTAAGCGTAAGCAGCCATTCCACGACACAATTTTTCAAATGCTCAGCTCCGTTCGTTGAAAGTGAAACAACCTGCACAACTATGCAGGTTTTGACATAGTCACACCACCCGACAATGTCTTGGTTAGCGTAGCTAGACCAGAATGGTGTAAGTATGCTACTTCTTCTATGTTGATTGGCCCTCCTGAGGTTTCCTTCAAGATACACTTCTCAACAATCTTCCACTTGGAGACTAATAGCACCTAACACATGTTCTCTAGATCTGTAAAGGGTAGGTATGCTGCTTTTTCTTTGTTGCTTGGCCCTAATAGGTGCTCCTTTAGGCTGCACTTCTCACATACCATAGTATTGCTCATCTCCGATCTCAACATTTCTTAACTCCAATTGAAGCTAAGTATAGCTCGAGTTTCTCAAAAGTCAACACCTTAGTCAATATATCTATAGGATTATCAATTGTGTATATCTTTTTCAAGAATAATTGCCCATTTATTAGGAGAAAACATATAAAGAGATACATCAGCTGAATATGCTTTATTATGGCTTGAAAAGTGACATTTTTAACATTATGAATATCACAAATACTATTAATATGAAGCTTTTCAATCCCTTGCTCCTTGCTCAGTTATGTCATAATGATTTGTAGTCGAATCATCTCCTTGCGAGCCTTAGTGATAGCAATGTATTTGGCTTTTGTAGTTGAAAATGCAATAATTTTCTATAGCTCGGAGACCCAACTCATCGCTTTATTCCCCAAAGCGAAGATATACCCTATAAAACTTATTCTACTATCCAAATCTTGTTTCATATTTGAATCTACAAATCCTTGTAGACTAATTCCTGCACTTCAAACATAACGTGCTTTGTTGATTGTCCCCCTCAAATACCCAAGAATCTGCATCACTGCCCCTTAATAATGTCTGTATGGATTGCCCATGTACTTATTGAGCACTCCCACTGTATATATAATATCTAGCCTCATACAAATTATAACATACTCTAAACTTGCAACTATTGAAGCTTGAGGAGTTCTCCACATTTATGATCAATTTGCTTCAAAGTTAAGTGATAATTTCTTTGATAGTTTGAACTGATTTATCTAAGAGGAAAAAAATTTGTTTTTTATTGAATCATATTGAACCTCTGTAGGATTTTCTCAACATATTCTTCCTGAGATAACTTCAATATACCTACATTTCTATCCCAGCTGATTCTCATCTTGAATCTTCTTGGTTGGACCTAACTCTTTCAACTCAAATTCATTTGATAATTTCTTCTTTATGTCCCTGATTCTCTTCATAAATGCTTCTAAAATTAACATCTCATATGCATACAAAAGAAGCAAGATATAACAATTACTAAAATTTTTTATGAATAAATAGTGGTTTTCTTGACACTTCATATATCCACTATCTCATATGAAGCTTTTAAACCTCTTGTACCACTATCTCGAGGCATGAAACTTGTCATATAGATATCCGTATAAAAGACTATTTTTATATCCATCTACTCTAGATGTAGATCTTCGTCCTCTATCAAGCTTAACACAACTCTAACAGTTCTCATCTCACTATAAGAGAAAAGAACTCAATGTTATCCACTCCTTCCTTCTATTGCAATCTCTTCACAATAAGTCTTGCTTGTATCACTTGTTATCATTTGTCTCCTCTTTCAGCATGTAGACTTATTTATTATGCATTGCTTTTTTTATCATATAGTAATACTGACAAATCCCATGTCTGATTTGTCATCGATAATTGTATCTTATCATCAACGATAAACTCATACTCCTTTAAATCTTCAACTTGAGTGGCCTCCTCATAACCCACTAGTTCACCACTATCAATTAGCAATAGTATAAAAAAGGAGAATACCTCTGTGCCTTTCTCGAGATTCTATTTGAACTCCTAACTTCAATATTAAGTGATTGAGGAACTTCATGTGTTTCGTATGAATGAGTACTCACGTTATCTCCACCATGGTGATCACTTGTGTCTTTTATCTCAACATATTTGGACATTTCAAACAGAACTAAAAAGAAGTCTTGTGTTCTACTCCTATTATTGTACATCTCCATTTCATTGAATGTCAAATCTCTGCTCATGATGAACATCTAATTCTAAAAGTCCTAGAATTTATAAAAAAATTTATCTGAGTTATACCCAATGAAAGTGTACTAGACAGATTTTAAATCAAGTTTACTCTTAGGCCTTGCATCAACATGAACATATGTAGAACACCCAAATACTTTCAGGTGAGATAGATCACTTCATACTTCTCCAGGTAAACATTCGTTCAAAGGTACTGATGAACCATAATTTACCAAATAAATAATAATGTTCACTGTTTTTGTCCAAAATTACCTTGACAAACCTACGTATATTCTCATACTCTTGGTACTCTTTATGATGTTTTTATTCTTTTGCTCAGCCGCATTGTTCTGTTATGGTGTTCGGGGAATATTGAACTCATATATGATCCCTTCTGTACCAAGTAAATTTTGAACTTTTGATCACGATACTCGCCCTTATAATTCTATACTGTTTAAATTCTATTAAAATAATTTTAATATTAAATCCTCATTGAGCGTTTGAACCTTGAATATCCCCTTTTTGTAGTTCAATTCCCATTCTAATTTTTCAAATCTAGAAAAATAAATAAATAATTGGGATATTCTAAGAGGTGTTTCAATTATAATAAAATTACAATTCCACAAAAAAGATATACAAAGAAATATTTATAAAAGATCTTAAAAAATATAACCTGAAATTTTTTTTTGTCAAGGCCAGCCAACACCAGC